TATATATTTATATTACCGTAATTGTAACGATCTTCGTCACAGAAAGTTATTTCTCGTCGGGTCGACACCTCGTTAAAGATTACAGGCTCTATAAAGATTGCGGAGCCAGAATTAATTCTGAATTGAGTTAAACCTAAATTTGAAAAGCATTGCTTTTACCAACGAGTCGATAAGGTCAATCGTACAATTTTTAAGAGTCTAAATTAATGTATATATTATATTATAAAAGAAGTTTTTATTTTTAGTACATGTCCATTTCAATCTTCGGTTTTTAGTAAATGTTGCAAAATTTTATACAATATTATATAAACATGTTTTACATATTATATGTAATAGAATATTTGTCAGAAATCGATATTATCATTGATTATAAATATCCGGATTCGCAACGCGGGATATTTTATCTCATTCTCAGTTGAACGTATTTGCGATTTTAGCTTGACGTTAAACATTTGCCAAACAAATTCGACATTAAATCGATATCGCGATAAATGTTCGTTAAATAATTGCAAAATTCCATAATTCGATAATTGCCAAATGTCGCCTCGTTCTTTTTATATGTATTTTTGAGTGCGATCGCTGTCTGGTAAATAAGCTATGTCGCTGCTCTTTGGTGTCAAATGAACATTAATATATTGGTAACAGTCAAAAGAAGTCATAATAATTTTTGCTGTGAAGGATTACTTCTCGTCGCTTGGATATCTCGTCAAAAAATCGACGATTCCTATTGTAGAGCCAGAATTAGAGATTTTATTGAATTAAGCCTGACTACTCAAAAATGTTGATTTTACTGTGATTCGATGATGATGACTATATAACTCTATTAGAGTCATAAAATTTATGTGTTATGAGAGTTTAATTAATTAATGGACTGCTGAATTATAGGATCGAATTATTGTAATTAAGGACTTGTATTAACTTTGAAAGAGACATGACCGAAATTGTATGATTTGATTTTCAATCGGGACGAAACCTATATAAAATTCAATTAACTGCTGTATCTTATTTTCATGAAGAATGGAATTAGTACAGTGCGCTTTTCTGAGATCACTGCACTTTACAATAGAATTTGATCAGCACACGAAATACAAGTCGAAGGTGAGAAGACGAGACGGCAATGTGGAGTTTGCTATTCTTTCGTGGTACAAATGTAATACGATAGCATATCGTGCTGTCTTTTGCCCCGTTTTCCGATAGCTAAACTTAGCGAATCGGTTATAATGGATGTGGAACACGAAGAGCGTTAGCCACTTACGATCGAAAACAATGATGAAACGCTATTTTTGTGTCGCGCAACGTAGTTATGTCAGAAATATACTTTCATTTCTTACTTTTATAATAAAACGACGTTGATAAAACATGAGCAGCTAATTTTATTTTACGCTATTAAACATAAAATCAACCGTAAACCAAATGTTAATATCCGAATTATAATAAATACTACAATATATTTTAGCTATAAAAAATTGTATTAAAACCACGACCTTTAATTTATGCACTAGTTAAATATATGTATAATTTGTCGTGTCATAATTTATTATATATACTTCATGTGGCTATCTCGCAACTGTAACATTTTAATAGTGTATATTAAAAATTTAAAGCAAATATCTTAACACAAAAATATCATATAGGAATATAATAATTTATCTTGTTATATAATTCTGTTCAAATAACCACAACGATATTGTGAAAAATTCGCGCGTCTAGACTCGTGACTATATCGATTTAAAAATATAATGATCTTATTTAAGAAATTCCGTTTTGCAAGACCATTGGTATACATTGCTCCAAAAAATATAATCATGGAAACGCTTATACCAAATTATAGTAAGATTATACTAAGAACGGTGGAAGATTTTTCTCCACCGCTTTTTTATCTGGATTTAAAAAGCTACACAATCTGTTTCTCCCTCTTTCTCTCTCCAATTCACCCACTAGAATCATGCTATTACGTATCGAATTCTCATTTGTTATTGATTTTTACAACTCGGGTGATATTGATTTCTTCTGGTGGACTAATTTCTTCTTCTAATAACTTTCCGATATTTTTGTAGTCGGATTTTCTATTATAATTAATTTTAGAAATGCGATAAAAGTGCAATAGTATTTTTATAGGTTTTACAATTTATATAATTTGTGGAACTCTTAACCGTGCGTCTCTTGTATTTTTTCGTCTTTTATCATTAAAGTAATAAGCTAATTTAAGGGAAAAAATTCTAATTCTGTTTCACTCTTTAATCAATTCTGATTAGTGGAAAATGATGCAAATAGTAGAACATCCCTTATGCGTCAGACTCGAACAATTTTTTAAGTCTTCCATAGACAAAACAGCAGGAGAAAATGAGAGTACATTAGGGAACAAAATTGAGAGATAAAAGACGTACTTTAGCGTCTCGTTATTTTTTAACGTTGAGAGTTTTACAAATTACAAAATTAAAACGTTCTTGTTCTTGTCCTCAGAGACACGAGACAGCACATTTTAACAACGTTTTCTCCGGCGTGGTACATTTTCTTCGTTCGCGAAACGTGTACATAAAATCATACATTTACATGCGTCAAAATGAAGGTGAAAAAAAGTGGGAGAAAATGAAATGCGGGTTCAACTTGGTCGCGAGATTATTAATTTTAGCAAAGTGTATTTCTTTTCGTGCATGATCGAAAGGCGTTTCGCACGTAAGTCTTAACAGTGACGCCCATCTACGTAAAAGGGAATGTGGCCGGTGACCGGGGTAATAGGTGGACCCCACGGAGAGGATGCGCTAGCACCCCGATAATAGCCCCCGCCGCAAAATAAAAGACCGCGTAACGATCGGGTTTAGTGTGGTAGACGGTGCGACATACACACGGCCTTCCGCACTTCCGCCGTCCCGTCGTCGTCTTTAGCCGTCGTAAAACACACCGCGGAACGACGCGTCGTTTCACGAAATGAGAAAAAAGTCGGGGCTGAAACGCGCGCATGGCGCGGGTATGTTTGAAATACAGCGAAACCCCACCCTCGAGGGTGACACATGTTGCGAAAGACGGTTCGCGTTTCCATCATGGTGCATCCGTCCGGCGCTTAATTACTAATTAAAATACTTTTGTAATTGTTAATTGAAATACACCGTCACCGTCTCTGTGAAAGTTTTGAACCCGAGTATCTTTTTCGACGGCGTTTCTTCCACAGGGCTTTTTTTCGATAAAAGTAACAATTTTTCGACCGAACCGTTTGGTAAAAGCCGCGTTAATTACGGGTGAAAGAGGCACCGAAAATTTTACATATAATTGTTTCAACATTACGTTGTTAGCAAACCGTACAGTTGCTAATGTCTGTTTGTGCGGCAAAATATTACAGGAGCATTACACAATTACATTTATTACGAATAATCTCTGTTACCGCGAAATGTTACGTTCATTCTTGAATCACGAATCATCTGTGCGGAATTGTACACGCAAATTCTATTGGCATTCAAAATATTGGTACCACTGCTGATAGCAGTTAATAGATGTTTCTAATCTGCTTTTGTAATTGCACCCTGAAATAATTATTAAACTGATGCACGCGTTACGAGAGCAAACATCCACAAATGGTATATAAACAATTGTATATAACAATGGTAACAGATATTGGATCAACAGGGTGGGAAGTCTTATTTACCGCTGCGGGTACGAGTACTGCATTACAATAATTAGGCGTTAATGTTTATTTCAAGTACATATATCGATACAATTTTGCCGGAAACGTATACGTAATGTCACAAATATGTGAAACATTCACTGCGCCAAGCCAGTACACATTCGCGAATAGCGCATTTTTTTTTACTGCGCTCGGAAAGTAAATCTAAACGAATTTCAACCCTCGATTACGTGTACGACATTGCGACTCGGATTATACACTACGTCTGACTTACTAAAAATATATTTAAAAATTCTTACACACCTCACGTTTCGAAATATTCTCACTCTTTTACGCGTTTCCTACGCTTCTCCGTGAAACGTAGGAAATTGTGGCTCTCAAGATACGAAGTACGCTGTGTGAACTCGTGTCGACGCAGTCGATAAATCTCGCAGATATGTCAGTAAAGAATTTTGGTCAGAAATCGTCAAAAGTACTAAAATAAACCCAGGGATAACAGTTAAGATGTTGCAATTAAAAGCACATTATCATGAAAGAATCAAACAATTTACATAGCTAAGATTTCATGAGAAAATTTTGTGATATCATACTAAGATATTATGTATGTTGAGTTTTTATTTCTTGAAATGATACAACAAATTTATATCTAGACCTAAATAAAAATTTCTTTGCGTTTAACAAAATTTTATATCTTCCGCAAAATTTAATAAATATTAGAACTCACGCGTTTCGTGAAAAATTTGCAAAATATTTTGAGAAGCACGTATCCGAGTGTCCAAGTTTCCAAATTATACTTCGAATAATTTTGATTGTAAAAACGAATAATATGAACGATATAAATAATTTTCTCATGCGCATGACGAGGAATTGAGGATTTAATCAAAATTCGTGACCAAATTTTAATGATAGGAAACGGGTCCCCCTTCGTCGCATTTAATTTTCATTCACAAGAATAATACCGTTGGACTCGGCATATTTTTTGATTTTCAAAGGTTAATATTATTATACACTGTATAAAATATTCATACAATGTATATATGTATATAGAAATGTAATTTGTGTAATACATTTGCTTCTTTGTACGAATTCTTCCAGCAACGAACACCGATTCGTAGAGCCATGATCAAATTGTCCGTGCGGTCGGCAAATCTTCTCGACAATAACGCGTATACAAACATCGCAGTGTAATTACGGAAATTTATGCTTGTAGCCCTGATCGTGCTTACGCACGTTGCAACATTGAATACATTTACAGAATACAGTTACACACGGGAAATACGTTATTATGCTATCACGCGCTGAACAAATGTTTGCGACGTTACACATATAATCGCAGTGTTACTCGCGCAATGGGTGTGAAAGAATTTTTCATGTTCGCGTGTCATTGAATAATTTGTTGATTAATAATCAAACAGGCGAGATTAGCGCCCGGCGTGTACAACTATCTGATTCTATGCGATCATTCGCAAGCGGTCGCCGTTCAAATCAGTAAAATGTATATCGTATATTGCCAATCTATCAATCGTTAAACGAAATTACAAATTAGCAATACTATAGATACATGTTGTTCAACGCAGACCCGACTGGCTTATAATATCGTCCGGTTCTTAGCTTACTATTGGAAGTATTTCGCATCGCAACAGTACGGTACTAAAATAGAAACGAATATCGCGTTAAGCTATCAGCCATTTCTTAGTATTATACAACGTCAACAATTGCAACACTTCGACGAATAGCGTTCGCGATTACGAGTACTTTACGGACTAAATAAGAGAAAATATTCCCAATTAATTAGGCCGGTTGAAAAAGCACTCCCTCCGTCATTATTGCTTTTGTATATCGAGCAAATAAGAAATCTTTCAGATAGAAATTATTTTATGTCGAAAAAATATTTTAATAATTTTAAATAGTAGAAAATCATGAGCAATAAGTTTGGTTACTAATAAATCGCGATGAAATAATTTTATATCTGTACTGCGGAATTTTTCCAACAAGATGTACTTTGATGTTTGAACTGATCGAACAAGTTAAAATTCTGGTTGCAAGTTTCATTGAGAGAACTATGATAACATATTTCATGGAATAAAAATCTTAATCTCTTTTCGAATAATTATATATAGATATACAACATATCTTTCGTATAAATTTAACGTTAATTTTACCAAATACTGTCAAAGAAGTGTTTCAGGCACTATAAATATTCAACTGTAATTGATCGCAAATGCGAATTGCAAATGCAAATATAATTAATTGCAAATGTTTCCTGTTTAAATGTAAAGCAACGGTTGATACAAAATTGTAGAAATACATCACCGGCGTTACATGTTCCGAAAAGAATATTCGAATTTCAAGAATAAAACAGATATTTTCTTTAATCCTATACATCGCATTGTAAACGTATTATAAACGCATTATATATCCGTTATATAAATATATAACGTGAAAAAATCTAAAACTTGTGCCGTCGAAGTTGAATGCAGTTTAAACTGCTAGAACTTTGTGATAGAAATATTCTTTATCCTGCTACAGTCCAGTTGATTATTGCGACTGGTTGGAATCGAAAATGTCTCTTCTCGGTGAACGCGTTGGGTCGTCTCGATTTTTATACGAATATTAAAAATTATATTTTTATTTTGTTACTTGTACTTCAGATATTGAATATATTTCGTAACTGTGCCAGTATCCTTATTCTATACACGCTATATGTTTCTATTTTATGTAGCTGCAGCATATCTCTTAACGTGTTCACCTGGAAGAGCTTTCAGCTATGTTAACATTTACCAGTGTATCACTTGGAGTAAACGATGAAAACATAAAATTTCTGTTCGCCTTAGGCAGGCCGTACTTGAATGCCAGAACTTTCTGTTTCCTCAAACCAGCCGAATTATCAACCAAACGATTTATCTCTCCGTTAAAAATTCATATACTTATCGCGATATAATCGCGATATAAAAATATACTTCTTTCAAATTGCCCGTAAATAGCTATCTGTAATACTAGCGCGGTGTATACTATTATTACTTCTAAATATTCCTTCCCGTCCCGTTTCCAATACTTATTATACCCTTTACTGAGTATCTTATCAGCTTGGTCAACACGTACGAGTCTAGTTGCGATCACCAAATAAGTTTCTTTTCGATTAAAATTCTCTATCTTAAAACATTAACAGCTGGCATAGTTTATATATTATATTAACAAAGAATTTAAATAATTGAATTTCGAACATGTCTTATGAGACAATACATCTTACTTTGTTTTTAAAACATTAATCCATTATTAAATTAGCATATAACTATCACGTATATATTATATATAATCTCTCTTAAGGAAAATCTTTTCGAAAAAGTCGTTTCTTTCTTTAAGCAATAAGAACTAAAACATGATAATATTAAAATGCTATAATCAACCAGCTATTAAGGAATTAAGGAGAATCTTTGACATTCTTACCAGAAATACGTTGCTAAAGAAATATATTACTTATCATTAAATAAATAATAATGTAATGATAGTGTAATGATTGCTTAACTGAGCACACTATATAAAACTGATTAGTTTGACACGCGTCCATTTTGACACAAATTACTACTGAATGTCCAATTGTGCTGGACCCACTATATATAGATATATATATTTATCTTACTATAAATATTACTTTTAAGATAAGTATAACCTAACAAGTTAGAAGTAATCGCTAACGCTAATCATGTTTGACTCAGGAAACTGTTATTTTTCGTGATTAAGCCCGCGCTGCTCTCCGACATGGGTATCACGGCTGACTTTTCGCCCTTTGGTAACTTTGCATGCGATTTGATATTCGGCTGTAGACCTTTCAGGACGTTCTGAAAAAAAAGTCATAATGGTAGATTACATCTACAATTCAAATGAAGCCCGCAGTAATAATTATAGCCATTATGTGAAATGTACATGATTATAGTCCGAGCTAGCAGTTTCATATGCATACAATTTGCACACTAATGCGTTGAAATTTACCTCTTTAAATGATCCTGGCGTAATTATTACGTAATACAACGCGTATCCTGGTATCCATGCCATAGACGAAAGACTCAAGCATACACCAACTATTTCCGCCCACGTGGGGTACTCGTAGCTACTGCCATATTTGAGTGGTTTGTATTGCACAATTTGGAATACAAAGATGAACTGGAAAGGAAGAAAAGAAGCCTTTTACCGCTCATAATAGATTTTAAATGTTTCAGCGACTTTCGTAAGCTAAATAAGCACAAAAATAATTAATTCCCTTTGAAGCAAGCAATAATCTTGATTTGCCATGTAATTAGATGAAAACGTGACTAATTATACGATACTTACGAGCATAATCACCGGCGCGAGCAAAACCCAGCATATGTACCAGAACTTATTTAATCGAATACCCATCATCTGATGCACGCAGTCGCAGAACTTTTGCGCCCCGAAAATCCATGATATCGCGATCGTTTGGAAGAAGCAGACCCACAGAATAGACATTCCACTCGCGGAGTAGAAATCCATCAGTTGGAAAATATAAATTCCCCCCTGAAACAGGCGTAATATTTTTTTTCGATAGAGTGCTTTGTAAAAATCAATCAGTGCATTCAATGCGTGCAACAATATGCATTGTTTTCAGTGATAATCCACTGATTGACTTTTAGAGGGTGCCTGTAACTTTTAATTGTACGCCTTTTATGCACGTCGGAAATAGAAATATGTATTTAGATACTAACGTTTGTGATCATAGGAATTCCTAGAGCGAACATTATCAGGCAGATAGCGATCGTGAATTTGATTCGGTGAGGACGAAGTATATCCGGCCAGTAGTCGACCATTCCGGTTATGAAAGATTCCACGATGCAAAATTCACTGTCGATGCCGAGTATCTGCGTAAAAACGGGACGATTCGTATATAATTTCGTATTTAAGTAATGATTTCGGAAAAATTTTAGTTTCTACATATGCTCTTAATCGCTGCTCCATAATCTAGATTGAAATTTAACACGATTTACAGTAATTAACATTGTTATTTAACAATCTATTAGCTAGAAATGTATCTTTTATTAATATTTTTATCTTTATTTACTATTCGGTTTTTATTAATCGATCTTGTGCAAAAGAATTATACAAATAATAGTTTGAGCTACGGATTAGCTTTTTTTCTCTAAGAATTTAAATTCTTAGAGAAAAAATAAAGTTTGATACAAATAATTACATGTGGAATGTATAATTGCAAAATTAAATAAACTATATCATTTTTGAAATAAAATAAATTTATTGTGCAAAAATAAAAATCTGTTATTACGTAACTCGTGTGAAGAAAGGAAAATAATTTTTGAAGTCTGTTTCCTCACTTTCTCATTTTAACTTAATATCGTTTCCTATGAACATTTCACAATATCTCTTAGCAAAAAGAAACGATGTTAAATGACGATGTATCGAGAGAAACTTCCTGCCGAGGGCGACAACGTGTCCAAACTTTTATAGCGATGCACATGAACAAACATAGGCGACAGCCGATTCCGTCGTTGGAATAACAATTTCTTACGAGTAGCATAACGAAGAATATAATGGCCCACAACGAAGCACCGGGTAGCTTCAAAACGACCTCGGGATACGTGAGGAAGACGAGACCAGGTCCGCTCTTGACGACCTCGGACACCTGCGTTTGCTGTTCCTGGGCGATGTGACCCAGTATCGAAAATGTTACGCAACCGGCCAGAAGACATGTCAGGGTGTTGACTACGCAAGTGATTATTGCGTCTCTGCAAGACAAAACTCCCTTTTTCAAAGACTCCAGCAGCGACGACACCACGTTTAGTGCGTCGTGGTTAAAGACTAGAACACCTTAAAGCCTTAACTATAATTCGTGAATCATAATTTACGAAATAAGACCAACTTGATCTGAAATGGCTAAAGTATGATATATGCGGATTGTTCGAGCCACTTGAAGCAAGACCAAGTTAAATTCGGTTAGGGAAACGTATGCTCTTATCTTTTTTGTTTCATACATTGATACCCCAACATTTTGACGAAAAATTACTGAATATGTTATTTAATCGGATAAGCAAAATCTTATCAAAATTTAACGCTGTGGGAGCGAGACGGCTGGTCAATGTCCAGCTACGGTGGAACAGCTTCGCGTCGCTTACCTATAACAATTATGATGGAACTTGTTGTACGAGCCCAGAGCGGGCAGGGCGCCGGTGCCAATGCTGTATGCGAAGAAGATCTGGGTAGCGCCGTCTATCCACGGTCCAGGATTGAGCAACTCCTCCCATCGCGGCGTCACGTAATAAAGCAAACCGTCGTAGGAACCCTCCAACGTCACCGCTCTTCCCAAAAGAATGAAAAGCACCACGTACGGGAACAAGGCTGAAAACCAGATGATCTTACCGCTCTGATGAAGACCGCGACGGATGATAAAGTAAACGAGTAGCCAGCCGACAATCAGGCAGCCTAGCAGCTCCCACTGGATCTTGCCGATGCTGTCGATGCCGGATGTAATACCGAGGACTCGCTGCCTGAAAATTCAATACCGTTCTCTGCAGTCTGTTCGTATTGACAATAATTGTGAAAATACAGCTACGATAATTAATACAAAATATCGCAGATGTTGCAGAAAGTGCTTCTTAGAAAAAGAAAAATGACGTAAGCATAAATACCAGATTGAATTAGAAATGCATACGTTATTCGATTGCACTAACTAACACGCCTGAAAGTTATATTTTTCTTAACTTGTTTAATAAAAAATACATAATCTAATGATAATTTTGTTATGAAGTTAGTTCGATAAATTGTAAATCTGCGATGCATGTGCAAACGCATTCTCCTGGTATGATTATATCATCGACATTATAGGTACATTAATTCCGTAAACGCATTATACACGAGGGAACTCTATGCTATGACCTGATTTGAGAAAATCAATGTCGCATTTCTTATAGTTGTTATATCGCGTAAATCCCCTAATAACTTTCATCTTACATCACAGCCTATGACTCACGGGCACTACCCAAGGGTATGAATCTGATGTATACATATATATACATGCATCAGATGATGAAATCAGATTAATGAAATAAAACTTTATATATATATATATATATAATTTCATTTTATTAAACTCAACGCTATCGAGTTTAAAAAGTTTCCTAGTTCGAAAGATCATATTTTATTGAAAAATTTAGAATGAGATGGAGCATTTTTCACCACATTCATTGTGTACACTTTACGTGCAGCATTTTATATGTGTTTTATTTTTGTAGCATTTACTAATAATTCTCTACTTACTCCCAATATTCTTCTACCGGCGTGGTATGATGACAGGTAGTATTTTCGGCAAAATTCGAACAATTTATTTTGCTGTGCATACTCATGCTTTCTCGGTTCGCGTCGTAACAATCTTCCGTGTTCCACCAGTTTTCTGAAAATGAAATAACTTATGACATTGTACGGTAAAGGGAGCGTGTGTTAGATTCATTCAGAGTTTTATCATATTTTGTAATTTAAATATTTACATAAAAATAGAGACACAGAATGAAAAGTACTTGAATTTTTTTAATCATCTTATTTCCTGATATCCGATAAAAGCATTTTAAATGTCAGCGTTTAACAATTAGAAAATATTATTTACCACATCCATTCCAAGGTACTCTTGGTAAATTCACGATCGTGCTTATGAGGTAGAAAAGAGTCCAAGCAATAATTATGCAGTAATATATGTCGAGGAAGAATACAATGGTCATCGTAGCATATCCCACGCCTAAAATCCGATAATATATTTAGGGTTAACAATTACTTATTAACATACCAAGGTATCTTGATGTCTAAAAATATTTTAAAAAATAATAATTACCTTGCAAAAGAGGACATAATTGTCCTACTAGCGACATTCCGCCAGCTCCAAGATATTGTCCAATGGCGACTTCTTGAAAAAATATAGGGATTCCGCAAAACAGCATTGCAATACCATAGGTGATCAGAAAAGCACCTATAATAAAATCCCAAAAGAAAACGACCAATTATTTTGCAAATAGTAATAATATTTTTTATATCCAGAGATTGTAATTAAACTTGAGAAGACCATTAACTTTTAATGCACGCCGTTAATTCGTCATGTTAAGAATTGCATTACTTTATTAAGTTGAGAGCAATAATGAATATCAAACATTATTGAAATTTGACGCTGCCTGCATCCTCAATTATGATAAAAAAAACTTGGGAGAAGCTTTTAACTAGAACAACACACAGAGTTCTGCTACTCTATATTAAAATGACCGATTAAAATAACACAATCAACTATAAAAATATTTTCGATGTTAAAAAAATAAGTCTTTTACTTTATAGCAATAAAAAATAGATAATATATAATACAGTTATGAATTTACACGATAATGCTCTTAACATTTGAGAATGTTTATGAATAAATTCCCAGCAGGGTTGACACTTACCACCGCCATTTTTATAACACAGATAAGGGAATCGCCAGACATTTCCTAATCCGACAGATACGCTTATGCAAGAAAATAGGAAGTCGAGTTTATTGTCCCAACCGCCGCGTTCGGCATCCTCCACCCTATTACTGATTTCAGTCATTTTACCCTGCGGGGTAGACACCGTCATCTTCGGCAAGGTGCGAGACGACTCGCGTTTCTTGTCCGTCGCCACCGATTTGGCCTTGAACTGTATGAAGGTCTGGTCGGGGTCGACTTGATCCTTCTCCTCGCCCCAGTAATACATTTTCTCCGCCATGGAGCCTAAAACAAGTCGAAAGTTGACATTAAGTATCTACAGGAGAAAGCGCTAAGCCAGCCCTTGAACGTAATTGAAAGGATGAGACGCAAATTCTCTACGGCCTTCGTACTATCGATTATTATGAATTTGTCCTATCTTATAACGCAGTTAAGCTATAATTCTGCTTAAAAGACACACGCGATGTCTTGCTGTAACTCGACGAAGTATGAAAAACTTTACAGCTTCATCCTTTGTTGTCTTTTGAGGAATTAAAAATATAATGAAAATTAATGTTTCGAATTTTAATCGACCTCAGCTGGCCACATTTATTAAATACGCTTCCACAACGTTTCGACCTTTGGTTTAGGTCCTTATCAAGTGCAATCTAGAAGTAAGTGATTTACATATAAATTACATGAAAAGTATATAGACATTGCACAGTAGAATAATTGTAGGCCTACCTTGTTACAGAGTTATGTCAAATACAAGTAAAAACGCATTTTAACGGGATGGAGTCCTGTGTTAAAAGTATAATTTCATTAACGTCCGGAGTCGAGGGATGTAAGACCAAGACTAATTAGTTATTTTAGTATTCAAAGGTTAGGCAATCGTTATAAACATATAAGAGAAACAAACTGAGACCGTCAAAGATATTTTGAGAATAAACTAAACCAAGTTATATAAGAAATCTTGGCATGACAACAAAATCGTAGATGACTCAACATATAAACATATAAACATCTAAAGTGCACGAACGGTAATCTCTAACGATGTTACGGACTGCCAAAAATACATAAACCCGGTTTTCCATTACGTGTCATTGTCTCTTCTCTCGGCAGCCCTATTTACAAAATTGCTTCGTTTCTACACAAGATTCTACAACAGTCAATCAAAAAACCCAGTTCACATGTCAGAGATAGTTGATCTTTCGTCGGAAATAGAAAACAGATTTATAGAAGATGATTCATTACTAATATCTTTGGATGTAACATCTCTTTTCACTAACTTCCCACAAGAGTTGGTGATTAAAGCGATAGAGAAACGTTGGGCAGATATCTCATTGAAGGCTGCTACTTTTAATTTACCTCAATTTTTATACGCCATACCATTAGTCCTCAACTCCACAAGTTTCCGATTTGATGGACAATGCTATGAACAAATTTTTGGCAGTCCCATGGGTTTCCCTCTCTCTCCAATTCTCTTTCAATTCTTTCGAAAATTATATTTCAAAACATTTGGGTCTCCCTCTATTTCTCTAAGTTCCTTCCGTTATTAAAAGAGACGAGAACTGTTTCTACTTTTTTCGCAAGTTTATAAAATTTTACAAACTTCTTATTGATGTGACTCTCTTTGATTCGACCAATTATGAAGATTTCTTTTAAATGTGCAGATTTTCTTCTTCAATGAGAATTTATCTGATTAACTTTAGCAGCAATTTAGATTTCCGAGAAGGCAGTAGTACGAGTGCACATTTTTTCTAATAGCGACATTTCGTCGTGACTCTATTGCATTCATAGGAAAAAAACGATGCACCTAACGGTAAATTTCTCCGCCCATGCTCCGATAAGGTCTAGCACGCAATTGCATGGTACGCAATTACGAGTGTCGTTCGGGGATTGCTTTTCCGATAACTCTACTCAGTTTCATTTACCTCGCCGATTTTCCAACATGTTTACAGATAGCGTACATATTTATTATATATATCATAAATCTCGCTGACCTTTTAAACAATATAATGTTTAATAACGCAACAACATCAAGAATGAAATCATTAATAACAGCGTAAACATGTTAATGTATTCCGTATTCTATACCACGTAACCGCGTTTGAAGCCGTTTCAAAATAATTTCTCCATTAACAAGAGTAGATTTCAGCATAAACATAAAGTTTACGAGAATAACGGATGTCTCTTGCATTTATTTCTTATTAATTTTTTTTATTTATACTTAATATTATTAAAATTGTATAGTGCACTCTGTAAATTCTTTTGACTATCGTATATATTTTCATACGTATAAAACATTAGTTTGAGAAAAAAAATTAATCTGAATTATTTATAGGAAAAAATAATTAAAAAAATAATTAAAAAATAACTTCTTTTGAAATATTTCTTTCAAATTCTATTGTTCCTTTTTATCTCTACCTTCTTTGATTATTAATTTAAAATCAAATTTTTCACCGGATAGAAGGTGATAAATAATAAATATGAGATTAAAAGTATAATATTAAAGAGGTGGTATCATAAGTATGCATGCATGTTAAAGTCACGAAAGTGACCCTCTTCAGTAACAATATGATTTAAAAACTAAGTCATTATTTGAACGGTGACGAGTCGTTACCAAAGAAGTTAAAGTGGAGTTAAAATATACAAAAATCATAGAACGTCAATTAGAATATACAGAGATTATGAGTAATCGAAAGAACACTTATGTAAGCGTAATCCATCGTGATTTCACAGCAATGCATCTCGACAGTCTGATACTTAGTTAGGTATCGGAGGGTTGTCTACAGGCTAAAGTTAAATAAGAATAAAAACTCAAAGATACCAGAGGTTTGTCAGAAAAATAAAAAGGAAATGAATGTAAAAAAACATTAAAATAACTGAGACAAATAAAGTACTAAATTAATTATTAAAAGGAAACGAAATAAAAATAAAAACGCTGTAGAAAAACGTTTAACCAAAACGTTTAACATTTTGGTATACTTATGATACCACCACCCCTTTAACACATATACTTTGAATCTCACATTAATTATTTATCACCTTCTATCCGGTGACGGCTCCCATTGCCCCTATTGTCTTTCTTTTGTATTATTTTAATTACTAATATCAATTTTGTATTTAAATGTTATTCAGTTATCCAAATCCAAATACTTAATTCTCCAAAGATAGCAGGTTCAATCTTATCTTTTTATCTTTATTTTGCAGTAAAACAAAATAGGGATCAATAGGGATAAGTTGACTTACATCCCTCTTGAATGGAGGCCCTCAATTTAGAAGGTGGGAGATAATTGTCAGTTTATTTAATTCAGACTGCTGGCACCATCCATGGCCACGTACTTTTCGCAAAACTTTGCTTCGATCCCGGGTGACCAGGAACCGGTTTCCTATTCAATGTATCGCGACCATTTGTGCGTATTGTCGTTACTACAGGCGTGCTTGCAATATCGCGCGCATTCACTCATTCTCATTCAAGCACCCCTTCTCCCAGGGATCCTCTCCCTATTTCTTTTACCGTTAGCAGCCCGGCTGATTTGGGACCGCCGATGAAGAGGGTACACGTGCTAAATAGTGTACACACGTGTCTACGTACGTGCGTGTGTATGTAACGTGCATATGTTTGCGTTTATATGCGCGCGCGCACCGTCGGCCGTGCGCGCGCTCCACGCGCACGGATGCTGGACGCAAAATCAATATCAAGTTTACATCGCGTCTATGTACACACGTGGACCGTGAATCTCGTTGTAAAATTCGGACGCGTCGCAACGCCGAGGCCGCTGATACCCAATCGGATTGCGATTGCGTCAGAACGTGATTGTACTAGGCTCAATCGGGGATACTTTGAATTAAAGGGGTGGGAAGGGGAGTCACATAGAAAATAAAAGACACACACACTAGAAACGAGACTCATGGAAAATTTGTTAACGAAGCGAAGGATAATTGTGAAGCGATGCGTGCGAACGAGTCAAAAATATATCTTGCCGCGTAATTAATGTCTAGCAATGTCTAGCAATAAGAATGAGTAATATTAAAATTATTATTTCACCAAAAGCTACATTGAAATCTTTATATTTTATCCCCAAAAAAATAAAATCACTAAATTCTGCGCCATTTTAATACTCCATTTTCATAATTTTAATGAAAATATGGCCAGCATTGTTTATTAAGTATCGCGTTATGTAATATTTTTAAGCCTTTTCCAATATCGATATTATTATAAAAGATATTTTCGATATCTTTTGAACACAGATTGATAAAAAAGTAGATTTAATATAACGTGACATTTTCTAATAAAAAGTGATCGTACTATATATGTACAAGGTTTATACAAAGAGGATTAAAGTTGAACGGCGTAATTTAATTCTCTCTTGTACAAATTCTATCTTGTACAAAAATGCGATTTATAAATCTATTATCATGCGTAATGTAATGCTATGTTCATTCTTGTCATAATTAACGAACCTTACATGGCATGACGATGCAGCTGCTGCATCATGCGCTTGCCTGCGCGAGGGAAATACTTAATCGTTAAGCGAATCACGTAGGTCGTGTACGAATATAATCATTATACGATACGTGCTTATCGATTATCAGATACTTGAATTAGATTTGTTACTATCAATTACAACGCATTAGCAGCATAGTCGAATTCCAAGTGCGTAACTTTATGCAATCGCTTTCCAGTATGAGCCAATATTATATATTATATCAATTTAGTTACTCCTGCATGTAATTTGCGTTTTAGCCAGTGAGAAAAATTGTTCATTTATCACGCCGCTTTATAAATTGCCTAAACGTAAATGGAGATTTAGATGATTCTGACAATTAAACGAACACACATATTTTAGTGTCTCGGTCGTTCGCTATGACATTTTGCGATAAAATTCTATTTCAATACGATTTCGTGAAACATCGATCATCTTACCAAGGGATGCACACACAATTCCGATGTAGCAGCCGTGACCGTTGATTTACTATGTCTGGTGGTAGTCGTAAAATTCAGTATTGCGTATAATCACATCGTACGAGGAGAGGCAGACGTTGGTTACGCCGCGTAGGACCGTTCACGCCCGACTCCGTTTCGGAGGAGCAAATCTTCTTAAATCGTTCCCGGGGAGGCTTCCCCGGCTCGAATCGATCCCGGAGCGACTCACGCGGATTCACTTGTCAAGGGTGTCGTTCGGAAAAGCGCACTTTCGGAATGAATGAGGTTTATTTGACAGCGTCACGCTGGTCACGAATATCTGCGACCTACCCCACAAGGGTTGTAGTTACAGAATAATGCTCCGGGACAAGATGGGGAATGTTACTCCTTTCGAACGCATGCGCATTTCTATGCATCCCCCCTAGCCGGCGAAGCAAAGTGACGGAGTCCTGGGGTCTGGCGGAGGCGGCAGGACCTTTTACCCGATAAATAATCAAAGGGACCGAAGAGGGTGGCTCGACGCAAGCACTACGCTTTTATAAAGTTTTTTTAAACTAACGAGAAGATCTCTTGTCGCCGTTCAATTTGTTTTCTGCGCGACTTGGTTCTTTCTTTTCCGATGTTTCTTACAGCAATTTTTATTATTTTCTAATTAATTTAAATTAATCGAATTAGGCAAATCCTGCTATTTACTTGAATAAATATTAGTCGAAGTAGTAAAATTGCAAGTAAAAGTTTCATATTTAGACCTGTTCGTAAAATATAAAGGAAATATATAATGCAGTTTTGTTTGTTCTATGCAGACATAACGGTGAATAGAGTAATATTTTGTTAGTGAAGATAATATTGTTAATAAAATAATAACATTTATGTCGCATATTGGTAGGTTAGCAACATAATTATCATTAGGACAAAAATTTGATTGAGTTTTGGAGCTGATTGGTATATTATAATTTATTACAACTTATTATAAATTCGTAATATTTATCTGAAAAGTAGGTACTGCAGATATTGAAGAAATTTATGATCCAAATGTTAAAAGTTTATACATTTATTTATAAAAGTTTTATATACATACGTTCTATTGATATAATTGATATCGGATAGCACGTGACCTCTCATGTAATGTTACGCGTTTCACGTAACTGTTACACTTCTTTAATGGTCATTCGACTATTGTTTCATCTCTCAAAAATAAAATCTAGATTTTACATATTACACATATAAAATATTTCTGTAAAACATTTTGTAAATTTTCTTCCAATATAAATATTAGATAACTAAAATTCTTATCGGTATATATAAAGGTCGTGGTTTATGCAAATTAAATATCTGCAAAGTTGACGAGCCGTCTGTGAGAAAAATATTTTCCCGTTAGCACTGCTCAACCGAAGACCACTTTGATGATGATCGTTCAATGAACATTGACAAGTCCATTCAACATTCGCTCGATTGCTCGGTGGAATTGCTTGGTATCACGGTGTGACAGCCGCGTCGGTGTCGCACTTGCTTAGCTGCAAATTTGTCAGGATCCTGAAAGCAACACCCTGTGTTACCTTGTCATATCGCATCAGCGTTTATTTAACGCAATTTCCTTCAAGATTCTGCGAAATTTTTAAAAAGTATAAGCGCTCTTGTTCTAAACCGACAACTTCATCAATGTGATTGCGCTCAACCTACAATAATGTTTTTTTTTTTTTAATTAAAGCCTTTATATTACAAGTCTAATATATTTCTGTGCAAAATTTTATGAATTCTTTTGGAGCACAAATATTAAGCAATTAACATTTTTATTGGTATATAAACGTGTTACCGTTTTGAAAAACTTAAAGATAATAGGAGCAGAGAAATCATTGCGACACTTTAATTAAGCATAAATCTACCATCAATTAAACGCAGAAAGAGCTCCCCTCCCCCCCCTCTCTCTCTCTCTCTCTCTCTCTCTCTCTCTCTCTCTCTCTCTCTCTCTCTCTCTCTCTCTCTCTTATTTCACCTGAACATCATTTAAGCCTGTTAATGCGTGAATTGATTTCATTGATATTTTTCGGTGTGCTTCTTTGAACGTGGAGAAATTTGGCTGTGGCGTCCAATTCGTTCCGTAGGAGATCGGATGTATATCTCCACGTGCCATATTTGTATCATTTAATATTTCTGAGCCACCGTTGTTGCAAGCTAGGCAGATTTCGCCGTCATCCATTTCCCCGTTTGCTTCAGTAGTTACGAGCACCTCTTGTTCTCTGAGAGCAAAAATATTTGTTCAAAAGGTGTTTCGCTTTATACGAATTATTATTATACGTAACACTATTTCTCTGCACCGAACTAACAAGCTAACGCGCGAAAAGAAACAATTAAAACACGAAGCGCAATACCAACCTCTCCTGTGACCATTCCACGCAAGACTTGATTACTGCGAACGTATCCTGACATTTAATTAAGGTTTCTTTAAAGAAAGTGTCCAGGCGTTCTGTAGAGTTCGCACATCCCAGGGCGATTATCGCAAATGACATCGCAATGATCCAACTGATAAAACTAGCCGACATCACTGGCGGCTGCACGGGTACAGGATAGTACGAGGACCAGACGTGTTGCCACCAGGGGTACAAAATATCTCGATATTCAGATTCCTAGATCGAAATGTAAAATTTACCAAAAAAATGTTTGGCTTGATTATTACTTTATACAGACCTATAATCAGCTATACTAATTATAATGATTAAACTGAAATTCTTTTGTTCCACGAAATATTACATTTTCTCCTTTGGAAGGAACTTTAAAAAACTATTCCCCCTTTTATGGCACACAGGCGCTTTTCTTACGTAAAAACGGACAATTCACAAGTGTTACGAGAGCAATTCCTTTGTTAGTTATACGAGAAGAATATAATAACGAGTCCACTCACGTAACTCCAATAACGCCAGACACTGCAATAGAGTATCCTTTGGAGGATCAGCCATAGCCATAAAAGCGCGCTAACCGCGAGCCAGCTGACCGATACCTTGAAAGACGCACGTGTATACGGATGGGTATTGGCTAACGCGGGAGATCGCATAGATTTTTGTACCTGAAATCCTTTATAAATGAACGTCGCGCCTACGAGATCCATGAGCCGCGTGGAGGATGGAGGATTCTTCCAGAGGACAAGTGCAGCGGCTGTCAGGATCAGGAAGGATGGCAGCGTGTGGATGAAGTCCGGTCCGACCGCGATTTTCGCGTATTCGCGGAAAACCTTATGTCGCAGAAATAATACCTCGTGGGGCACGCAAAGCAGGGTCCCTATCTGCGTGTGCAACGCGCTCAGGCAGGACATTACTGACGCGTCAGCCTGATCTTTCGGAATTATCCGTCACCGCGAAAGAACGAATCACGGTTATAGCGGTTACATTACGTCCAGTTACATCGAAACGTCTGACGTGCGCGCCGAGATGAACCGCGAAAGCGCCTATCCTTTGTTCGGGGGAGAAAATTCACTCGTACTTGGCCGGAAATAAATGTTTTATACTCCTATATGCAATCCTTTATATTTTGTACGAGGACATTTAAAGTACAAGTAAAAAGGATTGTGAGTCATTCGTTTATTTGTAATTAATTAATTATTTTTCCACCCGGCATTTAGCCGACATAGATAAATTGAACAAGGTTTTTATAGGAAATAGTTTGCATTTGATATGAAAAGTTAAGAAGTGTGATTAAAGAGATTTGTGACTAATGAAGATAATTTTGATTAAATATTTATTAACTCTAAAGCTAATCAAAATTTAATTACTTCTGTCAAACGAAGGGGCGAAATGATTGAAGATGTAAGAAATGGCGTAATAAAAGTATTAAAACATTTCGGATAATAATATCGTGATTATTACGTTGCTTTGGTGTGTTTTGTTACCAAAAAATCCGAGAGAAAAGAAGGTGGCATCGAGCAGCGTAATTATATGTTCTACTCCCACGTCCCTTACGGAAAAGCAACAAAATAATTACTAGAAAATTACTGTACATCAGAAATTTCTAATGATTCAATTACTGACGAAAGATCGCGATATTCGCGGGAGGGTCTAAATTGTAATGTCGCGCTTATCTCGCGACTATGCGCATCTTGCGCTATAGCACTAAATTTATTCAGTGCTATACTTATAACTGTGAATATTCACTGTTTTCAGTGATAATCCACTGATTGACTTTTAGAGAGCACATAATTGCATAATTTCTTGTCGATAATCTCCTTCTCGGGTACTACCTTGCCGCGGTGGAGGGGCTTATTATCACGAAGGGTTACCCAGTGAGAAATGATTTATGGATTGACGTCGAAACGATGTTCGATTCGACACCGTTTCGACATCGATCAATGAATCATTTCCTGCTGGGTACATACCCTAAGGACGGATAAACCAAAGGTACCCATTGCACTATTTAGACTCGGCTTTTCATTTTCTGTTCTCACTGTTAACAGTTAACCAGAAAATGAAAAACCAGGCCTAACACTCTCCAAAAGCCAATTGGTGGATTATTACTGAAAATAACGAAGCGATTCACTGTTTTCAGTGATAACCCATTGATTGACTTTTAGGGAGCACATTTGTTTATTCTATTTACTAATTAAATTGTTCATTTTTCGAATTTCAGTATTAATTTTCGAGGACGTTATTCATCGAATAATTTCGTTATTATCGTCGCCAATTTAAACATGATCCATATAAAGAATATTGCAATAGTGAAAATGTACGAGCCAATGATTGAAAACCGACCGTCGCGTTAACTTTCTGTCGAAATGACTGCTATCGGGGGCAATCCGAAAGATCCATGGGATTTATTTCTTCCTACAGCGGGGTCTTCGACGTTCAACGAGTTTTTGAATTCTCTTTCACGTGCGTTTCATTTCACGAGACTCTACAAGTCAGAGTATATTCAGCTCATTTTCCATATTGAGAATCGTTGAACTACATTGCAGAAATTACACGAAATGTGGCGAGTATTATTGATTCGTCCAGCTAATCCCTTGTAACCTATCTATTTTTTATTACGATATTGGTATACGTATAAAGAGTGAAATAATATGACGTGAGATTCTAAATATTTTGTCGAGCAAGTTTGAAATATTTTTATACATTATTTGCAGTTATTGATTACCTATGCCCTATAATATTCAGTTACAAGATCGGTATCTGTATCGTGCGGGAAGGTCCTCTTTCTGAATCTCAAGTCATTTATTCTGCATGTCTTGCGACACTTTCATGCGTCTTGCATGAACAACATGCATAATCACACGCATCTTCATATTTTAGCGGGCGGTTTTCGAGGTCAGTTTTCGCGGTCAGTCGGTTTTTAAAAACATTGTCAAGAAATAATTACTCTTTTAATTTTACGATAAATTTTATTATATCGAAATATTACAATTAATTACACATAACGCAAAGTAAAATTTTTTTTTGTGTCTATACTTGAATTTCGAATTCAAAGATCGTTTTACACGTAGAAACGGTCAGTATTCTCGAGTAAATAATGAAAGTAGAAATATATTTGATCAATTTTCTGTAGTAAATTTTTTTTAATTAACATTCTTTCTTAATTAACCTCGCGTAGACGTGCATTTTTTATACGTTCGACACTCGCATATAATTCAAAGTATACGTAATATCTGTCGGTAACGATAAGCCGATAATGGAAGGAGTTTTCTTCCTTCCCGTTGATCAAAATGACCAGAACGTATGGCCAGGAGTAACGAAAAGTATGTCCAACCTGGCCCAACGAAAGAAAACTGGATACGACGAGATAGGTGGCCAATATTGACCACTCTGATGGAGTATGTAAGGAAGGCAATAGACGAAATAATTGGATTTCTTTTGATTTGTCAAAATTCGGGTGGGTTATTCTTTTATATATATACATATATATTCTTGCATATGTGCGAGATTGATAAGATTACAATTAAATCCCAATCACGCGCGAATTATATCCCAACAAAAGACTCGTAGGTTTATTAAGTTGAAACGCAGGTAGATAGGAAAATGGATAGGTAGGACCATATATAGGAACACGGGTAGGTAGGGATTCGGGTAGGCAGAGACAGAGGGACATAACTCGATAATTAAAAAGATAGGTAAAATTAAAACTGGAATGTAATAATGAATATAACTATATTTATTATTATCGTATCATGAAACATATTATGCATAATAATATAATACTAATATAGTTATATTTGTTATTACTATATTTTTAATACAAGTTATAATTTTAACAAAAGTACTTTGAGCAAATTAATTTAATAAAATAACTAAAATTGAATTTTATAATGTAATAACTTCTTTCATAATATTGTATGCATTGTAAAGTAAATTATAAGAAAAATGAAATAAATAATATAAATGTAGGAAACCAAATCGTAAAGAAAAGAGGACCGCCGATCAAAAGCGGCGGGGGTGGTGGAGGGCCTCTACAAGGTGGACTGTTTTTGTCGGATAAAAATTTAATTGAAATCAAGAAGAGAGGTACCATTTTATTTCTGTGACAGCGGTGAAAACACCGCAGCGTATATATTCGTGGTAGAAGTCGCGTACTAATTCCGCTCGCTAGGTATGAGATACGATTGCTCTTACGACGATAATACGAATGTTACTTAAAGCTCAGTTGTGAAAAGTTGAAAATTACGAAGTTTACGCCGCGTCTTAAGCCACAGATTTCCAGGAACTATTTATTTACGGCGAAATTATAATTTATATTACGAATTAATATCAAGTTCCTTGAAGTTGAAAATGGAAGGGTGAAGAGATTGCGAAGAGATTGGCATGTAATTAAAATTTTGCCTTCGAGGAAATAATTATGATAATATGGGGATTTTAAAAAAAAGAAAAAAAAACGGTGGAGGTTTCCAAGTGATTAACGACCATAAATGGATATTTATTCATAAAAATTTGTAAAATTTATCTAAAAGCGACTATAGGTTCTTGGAACGCTACTGTTATATACAATTATATACATTTTAATGTATTTAAATAGTCTACATAAGGAAATAATCGGGTCCGACGAAGGACCCGCACTTGGGAAAGTCTTGTGGCGCGGACACCATGTTACTAGGGTCTCCGACTTGCAGGATAACATCTAAACCACGAGTCCAATCGGTCGCATGCTCATCTCGTAACATCCAATAACCTGCCAAATCAAATAAGAGTTAGTCTCATAGAGGTAATTCACAGCGTCGCTATTATATTATACAATATTTCTTAAATTTAAAATTAGAGAATGGGAAAATTTCAATATTTTTGGAACTAATGATTCAACTAAAATTTGAAGTTAGAAAGTTTTGCTATTTATTTTGAAATCCAATTTGCTTTGCCCTGCAATCACTAATAATTCACGAATTGCTGATGTATCCTTACATATTTTAACAATAGAATTTTTATCTCCAATTTGCCGAAAGAAATTACCAAATTAACAATTAAACCGATTAGAATTGAGGTCTGTATATTAAGTATTTATGTCAGTTCGATTAGCGGAGAGGGTTTTACCTGGATTATCGGCTTTAAACCGCAGCGCTACGGCACCGAACTTGGGCACGATGACGGTATCCTTGGCTAACGCGCAATCGAGATTCCGCGAAAACAGCTGTCTCCTTTCATCGAGATTTTTAACCTCTTGCAGTGACATACTTCGTCCAAATTGTCTGGCACCCACCACGTAAAAACTATAGCCGTGTAGATGATAAACTAGATCATCCAGACCACCTGTGGCAAAGCAACGACGAATTAACGTCAATCGTATAGAATTTCTCGTAGCAAAAAATTATTCTCGAATTACCGCTATTCTTTAGCTAAAATTATTCTAATAATATTCAATTATATTATTAGGTGATTATGTTTTATGAGATACCGAGTCATATTATAATCCTGAATATGTATTGAATTATATAAAAAAATTGTCCGTAGTTTGAACAATTTGTACCGAACAAAAAACAAGTAAAGTTAAATCAGGTCCTTTCGGAAATAAATCACATAGTAGCATATTAAATTTAAAATTATTAGGCTACCTTCAGCTTGCCCGGATCTAAGTAATGATTGGCGTTCTTGTTCCTATTTCAAAAAAAATTTTATCTCGGCAAGAAAAAATTATGTCATGCAGGAAATCGTTAGGCGAATGGACAATGAAAAAATAATTCGATAAAAAGAATCACAGACCGATGATCGACGCTACGATTAGTTGCGTGTAATTGCGAAGCTTTAGGAAGGAGAGCAATCATTCCATGTGCCGTTATCAGAGGTCGCGGGATTTCTCTCGGCTGTCGCAATCGTATTGGAAGAAATCGCGATGACGCGTCAAATATTGTTCTTGCGACGAAATAATATAACGCCTCCCTCACTAGAAGTGATTTATGATGATGAAAGCTTCCGATCAATAACCTCAGCTTTCGCGGGAAACAGAAGATGCGAACATCAGGGTCAAACGTAAATTCTATTATGCGCTAATGTTCTCTCACGTGCCGCTTCGCTCACTGTAAGATTATCCCCCGAGCAACACAAACTGCAATAATTAAGCTAGTAAGCTACATTGTACAATATTACACAGAAGATACCTGCTCCTTTATATAATGAGTTCCTGCGGTGACCTTGTCATATATCTGCCTCACTTTGATTTAAGATTCTGACTAAAGAGTTTAATATA